TCCCTCCCCCGGAGGAGGGCCGGGCGGAAAATCCCAAAATCTCGATAAAAGAGCAATTTCCTCTATCTCTGGCTCTCAAGAGGGCACGGAAAGTTGTGTACAGTCCAAAGCCGGATCACGCTCATCCTCCTCTGTCGTCAGCGGGCAGCAGTGGGCGGTTCGAGAGAGCTGGCAAAGGCCCTACTCACGCACACTCTGCCCAACCTTGGAACTACGAAATGCACCGCACACTCAGACCCTTGCTTCGGGCAGCTCGTGCACTCAGACCCTTGCTTCAGGCAGCCGAATCCCTGCATTCCACCTCGCTGCCCGACTGCCTGTCTAGCACTGCCCAGCCCGTCTTGCTGGCTCCTTCGGGCCATCAGACTCGGCTATGTGATTCAGTTCTTCCGGCATCCCCCCAAGTTCAGGGGCATCCACTTCACATCTGTTAAGGCAGCCGATGCTCATGTCTTGCATGCGGAGATCGCAGTCCTGCTGGCGAAGGACTCCAGCCGGTCCTTCCAGCCGATATGAAGAAAGGGTTTTACAGCCCCTACTTTATTTTACCCAAGAAAGGCGGTGGGTTACGACCGATCTTGGACCTGCATGTCTTGAACTGGGCCCTTCACAGGCTACCGTTCAAGATGCTAACACAGAAACGCATTTGGGTCCATCCGTCACCGAGATTGGTTTGCAGTCTGAAGTATGATGAATACTTTCATGTCTCAATCCTTCCGCGCCACAGACCTTTTCTGCGGTTCGCGTTCAAAGGAGGGGTATGTCAGTACAAAGTCCTGCCCTTCGGGCTGTCCCTGTCCCCCCGTGTCTTCACAAAAGTTGCGGAGGGGGCTCTTGTTCCCCTGAGAGAGCAGGGTGTTTGCATCTCGATGATTTGGCTCATACTAGCACAGTCTCGGTATCAGTTGTGCGAGCACAAGGACTTGGTGCTCAGGCACCTCAGCCTGTTGGGCCTTCGGGTCAACTGGGAAACGAGCAAACTCTCCCCGACGCAGGGGATTTTCTCGGTATGGAGTTTGATTCAGTCGAACTGCTTGAATTCGTTCAAAGGCAGGACGGCGATTCCACCGAAACAATTTCAGAGGCTCCTGGGGCATATGGCAGCTGCTGCGGCAGTCACGCTGCTGGGGCTGCTTCATATGAGACAGCTTCAGCACTGGCTCCATGGCCGAGTCCCAAGGTAGGCGTGGCAGCACGGCACTCTCCAGGTCCAAGTCACACCGGCCTGCCGCCAAACCTTCATCCCGTGGTCAGACCTCACATTTATTTGGGCAGGAGTGCCCCTAGAACAGGTCTCGAGGCATGCTGTGGTACATACAGATGCCTCAACCTCCAGCTGGGGTGCCACGTACAACGGGTAAGCAGTCTTGGAGGTGTGGACGGGCCCCCAAATGCAGTGGCGTATCAATTGCTTAGCGTTGTTAGCAGTTCGCCTTGCCTTGAACTGTCTCAAAGGATGCTTACAAGGCAAGCACATACTGGTCCGTACGGACAACACTGTGACCGTTGCATACTTCAACCGACAAGGTGTTCTGTGCTCCCGTTGTATTTCACAACTCGCCCGCCACCTACTCCTTTGGAGTCAGAAGCATCTGAGGTGGCTTCGTGCCATTCACATTCTGGGTCTTCTCAACCATGCAGCCGACGAGCTGTCACAAGCGGCACTTCCTGGAGAATGGAGACTCCATCCCCAGACGGTCCAGCTGATTTGGAGACGTTTCGGAGTTGCTCAGGTAGACCTGTTTGCCTCTCCAGAAACCTCTCACTGCCAGCTGAGGGCACACTCAGCACGGACGCACTGGCACACAGCTGGCCTCGGGGCCTACACAAATATGTGTTTCCCTGTGCACTGTGCAAAGTCAGGGAGGACGAGGAGCAGCTCCTGCTTGTGGCTCCCTACTGGCCCACTCGGACCTGGTTCCCAGAACTGATGCTCCTCGTGACAGCCCCTCCCTGGCAGATTCCTCAGAGGAAGGATCTACTGACTCAGAGATGGGGCACCCGTTGGTACCCGTGTCCATACCTCTGGAAACTTCATGTCTGGACACAGAGGTTCTAGGTGACCTACCACAAGAGGTAGTGGCCACCATCACTTCGGCACGAGCACTGTCTACGAGACACGCTTACGCCTTGAAGTGGAACCTGTTCATCGAGTGGTGTTCCTCTCGTTGAGAAGACCCCCGAACATATCAGATCAGAGTCATGCTCTCCTTCTCGCCACAAGGGTTGGAGCATCTCCCTCCACCCTTAAAGTTTATGTCGCTGCTATTTCCGCTAACCACAACCCCGTGGAGGGGAGAATGGTGGGGAAGCACATCCTGGTCATCAGGTATCTTAGGGGGATGAGAAGGTTGAACCATCCTCGACCTCCCTCTATACCTTATTGGGACCTGTCTCTGGTGCTCGAAGCACTACAGCGGGTCCCATTTGAGCCTTTTCAGTCAGTCGAGCTAAAGTTTCTTTCAATAAAGACTCTGCTCCTGGTTGCATTGGCCTCCATCAAGAGGGTAGGGGACCGGCACGCATTTTCAGTCGACGAATTGTCCCTAGAGTTTGGGCCGGCTGACTTGCAGGTAACCCTGAGACCCCGGCACGACTATGTGCCCAAGGTAGCTAGTACTCCCTTCAGGGATCAGGTGGTGAACCTGCAAGCATTGCCCCCGGAGGAGGCAGACCCAGCCCTAACTTTGCTTTGTCCCGTCCGCGCTTCAAGATTGTACGTGGACCAGATACAAAGCTTCAGGACCTCAGAACAGCTGTTTGTTTGTTACGGAGTGTTGCATCCTCCTTGGTACTGGCTCATGGTGCCTCGCTGACATACATTTGTAGAGCTGCATGCTGGGTGCGACCCCCACCATGTTCGC